TGTTCCTATTTTGTACTATGGGACTCACTCTGGATCGTCTGCTAGCACATTGTTGTTCTAAAGCTTTTCCATTTTAGCATAAGAAATTATAATAAAACTTAACAATTTTCAAATTTGTCAGCTTCTACTTTAAAACCTACCATTGATGTACTCTTCTAGCACACTGACTTTACCAACTTTTTTCAAAAGCGCTACCTCAGCGTGCGGTAACTCGGCGTTGTTGCTTCCGTCAATGGCGATACCTAAAAGAACTTTGTTGCCCCTGTCAATAAATTGTAGAAGAAACTTCAAGAGTTCTATATTCCAAGCCATTGCACTGTTAACAAAAAAGTTGTAGGTCTACCTGCCGAATCATATCCACGATATTCCATACGTTTTAGTCCATTTATCAAGATATCAATTATTTCACGACGGTTTTTTGGCGTCAGGAAATTTAAATAACCAAAGATTCCACACATTATGGCTTAATATTGCTGAAAAAACAGAAATTGATACAATTGAAATTCTTCTTGATTAATGAATCATTTAAAAAACTGAGTTGTTCAAACATTACAGTAACCAGATGCTACACTACACTACAATATATCATTACTCACGCTCTGATAAGAAAAGTTCTTTGTTCTAAATAAGTACCAGATAAACCGACTGCCATCAAAAAATTGACTTCCTACTTCGCATAGTTTGAACAAATTTTTTAAAAATATGTAGAAAGGAAATACAAGGTAAAAAACAGCAGCTTATACAACCCGTCTTTGCCGAAGTACATCTAATTGTGATAGGTTACCAATATGGTTGCCTGAGATTGGAAAGTTCAAGAAAGAACCAGACATTTACGTGTAGGTCAAATTGTGTCTTTTAAGCCCTGAATGTATGATAAGAGTCAGCAATTTCGTTGTTTTAATTATATGTATAAATACTTGCCGAAAATTTACCGCCATCTTTCTGAAGGAGAATCGCTGAAGCGTTTTTCTCATTGGTTTGCACCAATAATATCTGAAAACAGAATACATGCGATGTGGTTTTTAAACACTAAGACTTATTGTTTCCTAACTAAAAATCGTAAAAAAATTATAATCTTTGATTGTCATTTACTTTCACCTCCTCTTTGGCATATTCTGTTCTTTGCCTATGAGCACATTTAATCAGACTCCACGTACTTGTCATTTTTTACTACTTTTCGTACTTATTTATAAAAATGGTTTCAAAATTTTTGAAATGTGCAACAGATGCTTGATACAAATTTAAAGAAAAAAGTTTTCCTAAATTTTGTAGTACTTTATAACTAGAAAGTAAGATCAAATCTGGCAACGTTTCTTAAAACTTTCTCTTCAAATTATTTGCTCTACTTTTCTTCCACTTAGCCAAACTACTGAATGTTCACACCTCTGTAGACTAGCGCTCTATAACCTTTCTTAAACATACAGAACAGTCAGTAACGAACAACACTATTTGGAAATTTATCTTCAACACAGAACAGTTTCTACGGTTGACTGTTGCGTTTGCTCAAGATATTAAACATGATTTGTAAGAGTTTGTCTTCGTTCAATTTCAATACAGCATCTGCTCTATATTCTATACATTTCGACAATGTTGAAATAATTTACTATAACTGAAAGTTAAAAATGTTATTTGAATTACTTTAATATTCTACTATTTAATGAGCAATTAATTAACGACGTAGCAAATCGAATGGGAAGATTTCCTTAGCCATTTAACAGTGTCTAAATCAACACTACCATTTCTTCCGTGTTTTCAGACCAATACCTAAACCATCCACTCATCTAGTTACCTTTCCACTAAAGCAAACTCGTCAATAAATCGGTCGCTTTAACGCCGACTTGAACTGAAACTCGAACACCTAAGCTTGACTGACTATACTCTTCAGTTGAATTAAGCTGCTTAAGTTAGACGGTGAGAGGAGCATAAAAGGTGGTAAAGCGACAAACATAGTCCTCTTTCCACCCTCTGAAGGCAATTATTATAGGTAACTTGACAAGGAATTAGTAAGTCTGATTTACAAATATGGAACTAATAGAGACCCAAGCTTTTTGAGTTTCTCAGAGAGACAAACGGACAGCACACGTTTTGCTATGAAAGAATACGACCTTACCCAATCACTCAACTGACAGTCTCCTAGGAAATCCCTACTTCCGACTAGATAGTGTAATAGGTTAAAGCAGCTTCCCTTATCAAAAGGTTGATTTCAGACAGAATATAGAAACTGAAATAACAAAATCACCCAACTACTATTACAAACTGCGACAAAAATACTACTTGCCTAACTCCTACCACTTACCCTCTTTTCTCTTCACCAGCTCTTCTGCCATACAAAAAAAACCGCAGACACACGTTCCGACATCTCATCTTCCCCATTCTGACATGACAAATGTGAAAAAAAACCCACCCCTCTTCTAGTCTTCACATCAAAATCCTAATTTACTCTCAAAATCATCGGTAAGGTCAACAAAACTGAGAATTCCTATTAACATCACATGCTTCCAAACTGTTTAGCTAAGACTGCGCCAAAAGCATATTACACTTTGTTATTTCGAATTTATTACTACGATTACAAAGTACAGTTGGAAAGAACTAAAAAATTTCGCCAGTAAATCGTTTGTGACGACAGTATTCAAGAATAAGCTGGCATAAAAATAATATGAACAATATTTCATATCACCCATGAACATTTTACCAAAAACCAAACTTCTCTTGCAATTAGTATTCAAACAGGAATGACCAAAAGTAAATCTAATCGTAACAAAGAAACTAAATGAAACTATCTATGAGAGAAGAACAGTTTTTACAAATCAATCAAAAAATGACAACTACTTAAAAAATCAAGTTTATGACTCGTTTTCACCTATTTTTACTGGCCGCGGAACCCATTTGCTCCCATCTAATGCAATCTTTTCAATCCAGTCATCGCATATGCTCTCCTGCTCCTAAATAAAAAATGAAAACAATTTAGGAAAGTGAAGCTCGATGAAAAATGACCCTGAAACGCGTCTTTTGAAAAAAACTTACTTTGCTCACCACAATGCCGGAACATGCAATTATAGCTTCTTCGTCAGACACAATAAAACCGTTTCCTAGGTAAGCATCGATCTGCGCTGCAGTCCTTACAAACTCCCCTGATAAAGAGAATTCCTGTATACGACCAGTTTTGTCAAGAACCAGTATGCCATCTTTGTACCTAAATACAACTGAAAATTGCTAACAGCGATGTCCTAGTGAAGCGGCAACCACTACTACACCCTGATATTCCTTCTCTGAATTAGCATGTAGGTGCGAATACTTAGTACTATGAAAATTAATAAGAATGTTTCTTCAAAGCTTAAAACCAAGCATAATGCTTGAAAAAAACACAAAACGCAACAAACTAGGACATTGAAAACCCTGTTAAAATACCTCTTGATTGATCTTGGAAAATAAACTTCGCCATCTTTTTTACCAGATGAACTGAAAGTCCTGACAATTTTCCGTGATGGAATGTCAATTATTCGAATAAACTGCCTGCAAAAGAACAAGAAGGGAATATACCATCTGCACATTTTCAGCTGTTACTGTATTACAAGTTCTTTTTAGGAAAGCGAATTAGCATAAGATATAAGTATTCACTTCGAGTACATATTGATCGGTAATGAGCACGTGGACACAACCAAAGTATTAGAATCGTAGACGCATAGCGTTTGAAAAGCATATTCATCCTCAGAAATAACTTCCTCCCAGCCTAGAGGACAGTCGAGATTCATTCTATAAGGAAATATCAAAAAAAACAACTCTATTTAAACAAAGTTAGACTTTTCCAAAGAAGAAACAAAACTATTTCTGGCAATAAAAAGATTTCTTGAACCCTACTTAGATATAATTGAATCTTCCCCTTGCATTTGCTTTGTTGAAAATACTTCTCCCTCACTTGTGACAGCCAAGCTCTGTATTTTTCCGTCAATAAATTGTTCATGCAGTATATGACCGTCTAAGTCAAAAATCCTCAGTTCGGTTAAACATTGCTGGTCCTCAGCAAACGCGTGAACCACCTTAAATTCATATCCTTAGCAATCTAAAAATGTTTTTCCAAGTACTTAGAATTAGTTACAGTAAGAAGGATTTCTTTGATACAATAGTAGACTATAAAAAAATTGGCTGTAATACTGAAAATGAATTCAGAATTATAAATTTGACAGGTAATAAAAGTGGTTATAAAAATGAATAGTCTTTGACTGTTAAAATACATAATAAGGTTTAAAGTTATACGATGAGAAGAAGACAAAAAATATTACCGTCTTATTATGATTCAAAACTTGGCAGTAAGCGGAAATTTTTTTTGGAAAATCGTTTTTCCGCTCAAAAAGGACTTTATCACCGTGCTGATTAAATTTAAATAAACCTCCTTTTGCTGCCACCCAGTAGTTTCCATCCTCATCTTTACAAAGACTAAAAGCTAGAAAACAGATATTTTTAAAAAAACCAAGTTTTCAAAAGCGTTTACAACAGTAAATTAATGTGTCCATTTGATTTGAAAAAAAAAAAAAAAACTAATTTATTCTTGCAGTTTCCAACAATTACCACAGAGTTGAAGAAATTGAGTGAGTAAGTAATTTAACTTTTGGTGGAACTATGTTTTATCTAAATTTGCAAAAATATTAATTGAAAACTAACCTGTATGGTACCACTGCCCCTTTAGGAGTCAAATGAATGAACATTTCTTCGCATCTTTGATGATCTGACGTGTTTGAAAGCTTTACTGGCATGGTCGACTTCTACAAAGAAAGTAACAGTTTGCAGAAACCTTTCCAACATCCAGTTCCTTACCGGAATTACTGGCCACCTAGAATGAGAATTTACTAAACCATATGCGCAAAACCCAAAACTGATGCTGAAGACCAATGATCAACCACGAACAGTTGTGTTTTGAGCCCAACATCGGTCAGTAATCAACGGAAGTTCCACAACGAACACTTTGGAGCATAGCCAATCTGGCAAAAGTCCGAAGTACTAATGTTGTAGAAGATCGTGAGTTTATATATATAAATAGTTCACCGGGTAACGTGAGTATTGTCATGATGGAGTTCCAGCAAGTAGCGCAAGAGAATCAGCTGATTTCGGACAGCAAGTAGAGAAACTAAAAGTTAGTCTTTTTCACTGGTTGGTATCCGGAGAACTAAATACGGGAAGCAGAAGGATGTAAAAGTTGAATTGCCTGTTTTCCAGCTTATGTGAGAAAAAACTGGCGAGATTTCCAATTATCTATATATTCAAATTAATACTTGTTGAATTGAAGTAACGGCAACATGGTTTCGAGTCCTGGTTGCTTAAAATTTTAATAACAGTGTCGTTTCATTTACCCATTGGAAACTGCTGACTGGTTGCTACCTTTGCGTCTGAAAACACTGATGTCTGTGTATTATAATTAGCAGAAAAAGCCTAAATCCACAAAGTTTTTTGGTTAATCTTACGTATAACAGCGTAGGAAAACACTGAAAGCAGATTTACTCTTTTTATAGGTATGCTACACTTTTTGAAAGCGGTGGAGGTTTAGTGGATCGATGTGTCAATTTCAAAGATAATAGTTTTTAAAAGAAGACCTTTTTGAAGTTCAGACTTCTAGAATACACAGCTGCACAGTATGGGAACAATATTTCGGGGAACAAACTGCCACAGGAACTACTTTTAACCTCGGCTACAGTTTCTGAGCAAACTCATGTTTATTTAGTAAAAGATGTTCAAAAAAGAAGATAAAGGAGCGAGTAGATTTGAGTCGTACTGGAAAACTCAGTGGCAAAATTTATCAGAGACCTGTACGTTGAGAGGTGGTTGCGCCAAATGGATTAACATGATCTTGTAAGTTAACATACTAGTCGACATACTAATTGTGCTCATTTGAATCACTGTTTTAGGAGTATGCTTAGAGGAGCAGGCAAAAAAGGTTCGAATTAAATGGTTGAAAAGCGTGGAACCATAATAAGCAAATTTGGGTACCGTACAGTAGAGAGTGGGATATTTACTGGTAGGAAGTTTCCCTAGATTTAATGATAAGTTTTTAAGAAATTTGGTTATTCTTATCTTTTGGAGCCATTGTGAATTCGTTAGCATCTTAACCCTTTTTGCTGAGTCTTCTTTAATAGTCTTATGTGTCGGCTTCGTTCACCAACTACTTTGATATTTTATGGACTTTAAATATTGATTTTGAAGGAAGAACCGATTAAACCTTTATGATTGCTGCGCTGGTTTTCCGATGTTCTTTTACATCTTTGAGATTAGATAAATCAATGGAAGCACTTTACAAGTAACCATTATATGTGGCATATATTTTTAAGGAAGTTTTGCTTTCAGAAACGGGTAACAAGTGTGCAGAACGCCATAGTTGTATCAGAGATTTCTGTTAGAAAGTTTTACCTCTGAAACAGAATTAATTGGCCGGGTACTGAAGATAGCCAATCACCAGTTACTAGTAAACTAGTACTGCGATTGCCATGGTTCGATGTGTGAAGTATGCTCTGCGCTTGGGCTACAGCCTCTCCGCATTACGTCGCTGTACAGGATAGCTGAAAAACACTTTGACAAAAGAGTTAAGCGATGCTTTGAAGCAGATACTGTTCAGTTTCTAGTCTTTTTTTCCATTTGCGCGTATCGGGATCATTGTACTCTACAAATGAACAACTACTTCCTCGTAGGATCAAGCATTCTTTCGAGTACTTGGAAACCACCTTGAGGGGAAAAAGGAAATCGGAGGGCTACTTTGTGAGTAGTTGTAGCCTCTCTGGCAGTAGTTGGGAGGTGAACACGGTCAAAATGGTTTGTTTGAAGTAAATACCCGACGAAGACCATCATCGTTAACTGGTACAAATTCCTCGTTATCCGGTGAGCTGCTTCTTATGGCTTTATTAATATGCGGCTTCGTTGAGTGATGTCTGATGGTAATAATTAGGGCTTTGTATCATTTTGATCGTCTGCAACACTGAATTTTTGTTTTTGAATTGCCTAAACTTTTGACGAACAGTTTATTTCCAGTCTTAAATGGCTTTCATACAGCTCAGTAATCTATTCTTGGAACTGTATATTCTCTTTCAACTTGCCGTTTACCAGGTCTGTTTTACTGGAACTTTAAAGTATAGTTTTTAGTGAACCTTAAGGTTAAGCCTTACCAAACTGCCGTTGAGAGAGTTTTCTTGTATTCCTAGGCATTTCTTCCCCAGGTCCAAACTTTTGTTGCAAATTGTGTGGAAAAAATTTTAGTTGGCAAGTTTCCACTGTGTTATGGTTCAAAAGCGCGAAACTGATCATTTAAAAACTACTCTTGGATACCTCTGTCAGTGTTGTCTACCGCATTCTTACTCTGGAGTTCTCTTGGGTTTTCTTCAAAACGAGTGGTTAGTGGAAAATGACGAAGCAGTTCTTTCAAATTCGTTTGAAATAGTTGTTTGTTCACCAATCAACTGTAAAAGTTCTACGCTGAGGTCTCTTTGCAAATTCGGACGCTGAGTACTGTTGCACCATTTGGAGTTTGTGCTTTTGCGTTTAAGTGGATTTTGTTTGGTTGTGCATTTTTTGCTTACTGTTGGCTATCGATCAAGATTTATTTTGGATATTTGACTTGCCATTTATGCAGTTTCTCATGAGCGAAGAGAAGAGAATAGATAACATGCAGAGTTATATTAGTAACTTTCCGTTATTGACTAGCTTTCATTTACTTTAAGTTACTTAGGGATTTTTGTTATTTTTAAAAAGAAGACTTTACCTAAGTTCCGACCGGAGAGTAGTACTAAATGTTCTTGTCCAGAAATGATGTTTGACATGTTCCATTGTACTAATTTGCATGTCGTATCACCCTTACAGATTATGAACAGATTTCGTAGAAGTACGAGTCAGAGGCCATTTTCCAAAGAGATAGATTTCATGATGACGATCAAACCCTGGAAAAGATCATCCTTTCGCAGTTTTCCTGTTGACTCGCAGGAGAAGGTGAAACACTTGGATGCCATTTGTAGGTTCGAATTGCAGTATAAGGATTTACCAATAGCAATTGAAGGCGGGGTT